TATAATAGGATACCACACATTTACAATAGGATACCACACATTTACAATAGGATACCATACATTTACATTAGGACACCACACATTTACATAAGGACACCACACATTTACATAAGGACACCACACATTTACAATAGGATACCATACAGTTACAATAGGATACCATACAGTTACAAAAGGTTACCACACATTTACAATAGGATACCACACATTTACAACAGGACACCACACATTTACATTAGGACACCACACATTTACATTAGGACATCACACATTTACAATAGGATACCACACATTTACAATAGGATACCACACATTTACAATAGGATACCACACATTTACAATAGGATACCACACATTTACATTAGGACATCACACATTTACAATAGGATACCACACATTTACAATAGGATACCACACATTTACAATAGGATACCACACATTCACAATAGGATACCACACATTTACAATAGGATACCACACATTTACATTAGGACATCACACATTTACAATAGGATACCACACATTTACAATAGGATACCACACATTTACAATAGGATACCACACATTTACAATAGGATACCACTAGGATACCACACATTTACAATAGGACACCACACATTTACATTAGGACATCACACATTTACAATAGGATACCACACATTTACAATAGGATACCACACATTTACAATAGGATACCACACATTTACAATAGGACACCACACATTTACATTAGGACATCACACATTTACAATAGGATACCACACATTTACAATAGGACACCACACATTTACATTAGGACATCACACATTTACAATAGGATACCACACATTTACAATAGGATACCACACATTTACAATAGGATACCACACATTTACATTAGGACATCACACATTTACAATAGGATACCACACATTTACAATAGGATACCACACATTTACAATAGGATACCACACATTTACAATAGGATACCACACATTTACAATAGGATACCACACATTTACAATAGGATACCACACATTTACAATAGGATACCACACATTTACATTAGGACATCACACATTTACAATAGGATACCACACATTTACAATAGGATACCACACATTTACAATAGGATACCACACATTTACAATAGGATACCACACATTTACAATAGGACACCACACATTTACATTAGGACATCACACATTTACAATAGGATACCACACATTTACAATAGGACACCACACATTTACATTAGGACATCACACATTTACAATAGGATACCACACATTTACAATAGGATACCATACAGTTACAATAAGACATAATACTATTACAATCATGTGTGCTTCCCAAATTTCTGAAACTGCTAAATAAGAATGTGATGACAGGTACAGTTTGTTCCTTTGAGTTTGAGTCCTGTGCCAGAGTGATGATACACCTAAACATTGCTGAACAGTCATTCATCTTTGTGTTTGTACAGAGGCCTACTTCCGTTCACTAAAGCAAGGATTAAAAGGGCTTGGCACCGACAAACTGATTCAGTTCCTGAGCTCTTTTTAATTGAATGAGATCCTAATGATTATCAATGCTATTGATGACCACAAGTCAGTTTTAATCAAGGCTAGATTCAATTAGATTAAAGTCAAACAACACTGAATCATTCTCACCCCCTTAGTAACACAAGTGTAGCATCTGTGTTGTTCCCAGTGCCGTGATAGGATGGTGTGTGTAGGTGATCTACCTGGTGTTATGGTGGTGTGTCTGGTGTTTTGGTTGTGTACCTGGTGTTATGGTGGTGTGTCTGGTGTCATGGTGGTGTATCTGGTGTTATGGTGGTGTACCTGGTGTTATGGTGGTGTATCTGGTGTCATGGTGGTGTATCTGGTGTTATGGTGGTGTACCCGGTGTTAAGGTGGTGTACCTGGTGTTATGGTGGTGTACCTGGTGTTATGGTGGTGTACCCGGTGTTATGGTGGTGTACCTGGTGTTATGGTGGTGTGTCTGGTGTTATGGTGGGGTAGCTGGTGTCATGGTGATGTGTCTGGTGTCATGGTGGTGTATCTGGTGTTATGGTGGTGTACCTGGTGTTATGGTGGTGTATCTGGTGTCATGGTGGTGTATCTGGTGTTATGGTTGTGTACCTGGTGTTATGGTGGTGTGTCTGGTGTTATGGTGGTGTACCTGGTGTTATGGTTGTGTACCTGGTGTTATGGTGGTGTATCTGGTGTTATGGTGGTGTGTCTGGTGTTATGGTGATCTACCTGGTGTTATGGTGGTGTCCCTGTGTTATGGTGGTGTACCTGGTGTTATGGTTGTGTACCTGGCGTTATGGTGGTGTACCTGGTGTTATGATGGTGTGTCTGGTGTTATGGTGTGTACCTGGTGTCATGGTTGTGTACCTGGTGTCATGGTGGTGTGTCTGGTGTTTTGGTGGTGTGTCTGGTGTTATGGTGGTGTACCTGGTGTCATGGTGGTGTGTCTGGTGTTATAGTTGTGTACCTGGTGTTATTGTGGTGTGTCTGGTGTTATGGTGGTGTGTCTGGTGTTAAGGTTGTGTACCTGGTGTTATGGTGGGGTAGCTGGTGTCATGGTGATGTGTCTGGTGTCATGGTTGTGTACCTGGTGTCATGGTGGTGTATCTGGTGTTATGGTGGTGTGGCTGGTGTCATGGTGGTGTGGCTGGTGTCATGGTGGTGTGGCTGGTGTTATGGTGGTGTGTCTGGTGTTATGGTGGTGTAGCTGGTGTCATGGTGGTGTGTCTGGTGTTATGCTGGTGTCATGGTGGTGTGTCTGGTGTTATGGTGGTGTACCTGGTGTTATGGTGGTGTCATGGTGGTGTGTCTGGTGTTATAGTGGTGTTATGGTGGTGTAGCTGGTGTTATGGTGGGGTAGCTGGTGTCATGGTGGTGTGTCTGGTGTTATGCTGGTGTTATGGTGGTGTAGCTGGTGTTATGGTGGTGTAGCTGGTGTTATGGTGGTGTGTCTGGTGTTATGGTGGTGTACCTGGTGTTATGGTGGTGTACCTGGTGTCATGGTGGTGTACCTGGTGTTATGGTGGTGTATCTGGTGTTATGGTGGTGTGTCTGGTGTTATGGTGATCTACCTGGTGTTATGGTGGTGTCCCTGTGTTATGGTGGTGTACCTGGTGTTATGGTTGTGTACCTGGCGTTATGGTGGTGTACCTGGTGTTATGATGGTGTGTCTGGTGTTATGGTGTGTACCTGGTGTCATGGTTGTGTACCTGGTGTCATGGTGGTGTGTCTGGTGTTATGGTGGTGTGTCTGGTGTTATGGTGGTGTACCTGGTGTCATGGTGGTGTGTCTGGTGTTATAGTTGTGTACCTGGTGTTATTGTGGTGTGTCTGGTGTTATGGTGGTGTGTCTGGTGTTAAGGTTGTGTACCTGGTGTTATGGTGGGGTAGCTGGTGTCATGGTGATGTGTCTGGTGTCATGGTTGTGTACCTGGTGTCATGGTGGTGTATCTGGTGTTATGGTGGTGTACCTGGTGTTATGGTGGTGTGTCTGGTGTTATGGTGGTGTACCTAGGGTTATGGTTGTGTACCTGGTGTTATGGTGGTGTATCTGGTGTTATGTCTGGTGTTATGGTGGTGTGTCTGGTGTTATGGTGATCTACCTGGTGTCATGGTGGTGTACCCGGTGTTATGGTGGTGTACCTTGTGTCATGGTGGTGTCCCTGTGTTATGGTAGTGTACCTGGTGTCATGGTGGTGTAGCTGGTGTTATGGTGGTGTATCTGATGTTATGGTGGTGTGTCTGATGTTATGGTGGTGTGTCTGGTGTTATGGTGGTGTGTCCTGAATTATGGTGATCTACCTGGTGTCATGGTGGTGTACCCGGTGTTATGGTGGTTTACCTGGTGTCATGGTGGTGTCCCTGTGTAATGGTGGTGTACCTGGTGTTATGGTGGTGTATCTGATGTTATGGTGATGTGTCTGGTGTTATAGTGGTGTGTCAGGAATTATGGTGATCTACCTGGTGTCATGGTGGTGTACCCGGTGTTATGGTGGTTTACCTGGTGTCATGGGGGTGCTGTGTTATGGTGGTGTATCTGGTGTTATGGTGGTGTATCTGGTGTTATGGTGGTGTATCTGGTGTAATGGTGGTGTATCTGGTGTCATGGTGGTGTGGCTGGTGTCATGGTGGTGTGGCTGGTGTCATGGTGGTGTGGCTGGTGTTATGGTGGTGTGTCTGGTGTTATGGTGGTGTAGCTGGTGTCATGGTGGTGTGTCTGGTGTTATGCTGGTGTCATGGTGGTGTGTCTGGTGTTATGGTGGTGTACCTGGTGTTATGGTGGTGTCATGGTGGTGTGTCTGGTGTTATAGTGGTGTTATGGTGGTGTAGCTGGTGTTATGGTGGGGTAGCTGGTGTCATGGTGGTGTGTCTGGTGTTATGGTGGTGTTATGGTGGTGTAGCTGGTGTTATGGTGGTGTAGCTGGTGTTATGGTGGTGTGTCTGGTGTTATGGTGGTGTACCTGGTGTTATGGTGGTGTACCTGGTGTCATGGTGGTGTACCTGGTGTTTTGGTGGTGTTATGGTGGTGTAGCTGGTGTTATGGTGGGGTAGCTGGTGTCATGGTGGTGTGTCTGGTGTTATGCTGGTGTTATGATGGTGTAGCTGGTGTTATGGTGGTGTACCTGGTGTTATGGTGGTGTGTCTGGTGTTATGGTGGTGTACCTGGTGTTATGGTGGTGTGTCTGGTGTTATGGTGATGTGTCTGGTGTCATGCTGGTGTCATGGTGGTGTGTCTGGTGTTATTGTTGTGTACCTGGTGTTATGGTGGGGTAGCTGGTGTCATGGTGGTGTGTCTGGTGTTATGCTGGTGTTATGATGGTGTAGCTGGTGTCATGGTGGTGTGTCTGGTGTCATGGTGGTGTAGCTGGTGTTATTGTGGTGTACCTGTGTTATGGTGGTGTCCCTGTGTTATGGTGGTGTACCTGGTGTTATGGTGGTGTGTGTAGGTGGTGTAGATAAGTTTGGGTATCAGTCTGTCCACTCTTACCTTGCATGTCCCATGTGGGAGGCATCGTACACAGTCGGACCACAGCTGTACCACAAAACACGGCGGCCATTTTGGGGGACAAAAACCTCCTACAAAAAGAAAAAATTCTGTCACAAATTTGTTTTCTGTATCCAGTTGGACCATATTTTAAAACACATTCTGAACACCGGCGTATAACAAATGGTAATAATTTGGGTGGAGGACCAAGACATGGTTTGTGTCCAGTATTGCAGACTGCTCTTCATCATGTTTATCATGATCTCCATTCATCATAGCCGTCTGGCCGTCAAGCTGAATCTTGCGTTTTAACGATGAAAACGAACAACTATTGATTTTGACCAAATTTGGCATGTGACAAGTCACCCATAATACACAGGTCGAGTTCAGTGACCAATGAAATTGTTCAGTATGAAGGCGGTCACAAATCACATGAACAAGCTAAATTTGGTGTACGAACGAGTGAGTGTTTGGTTTTTGTCTGCTTTGAAGAGAGTTTTGGTAATAAAACATCATATCACCTTGATGTGGGAGAAAAGCCTGACCTGATGCTGTGTAGGTAGTTGGACTCTACATTTTGTAGATGTATCGGTTAGTTTGCCATACATTTAAACCTAAACTCACTTGTCAGTTATAGTGGGCACGATGAAACTCATAGTAAACTGTATTTATGTCAGATGATGATGATGATGATGATTATTGATGATGATGATGATGATGATGATGATGATGATGATGACTGAGTAAATGAATGAGTGTGTGAGTATGGTTTTATGCCGCTTTTAGCAATTTTCCAGCAATATCACAGCAGGGGGGGGGGGGGGGGGAACCAGAAATGGGCTTCAAACCCGGGTCTTCGGCGTGATGAGCGAACGCTTCAACCACTAAGCTACTCTATCACCCTGATGATGATTAAGGCAGCCATTGGAGATCATGACGATCGCGAAGATAATTCTTGCTGAGATCCTCTTCAATTCATTATACTTGTAGTCATCCATGCTTTCGACCTTTTAATCACAAGTCTGATGCCAGAATCGACATAACGCAGTGGCACTCGGCATTAAGGGGCTAAAGCAACACTGGTTGGCTTGAAGTACACTGTGTCTGAGTGGGGTATCCGTGTTAAAATGTGGCATGGTATCTCAGTGAGCTAGCACTGTAAAACGAGCATAAGTCCGGACTAGTACAAGCAGCCACACACACACATGCATTCATGTTGCTACATAAGTGCAATAATCAACGCGACATTCAACCCCAATACACCACATATGCGTAAAATCTATTGAAACTCATGCTGATATAGTGTTGGCACAGACTGCGTCTAAATGATGGAACATCTAGTGATGTGACTGTCACAAAGTAAGGCATGCCCATAGACAAACGAGGCCATTTCATTGCCATTTTCACAAAACATTTTTTGAAGTTTGTGAGCAGGTCCTATCTTCATAGGAGCTCCCAACAGCGATTTGATGATATCACATTGTCAGCAATATGAGCTGAACTATTTGTCACCATGAAGGAACTAGCCAGGCAATAATTATCTTTCCATTTGTCTCACTTTCTTCCTGCCTGTGATTCATTGTAGTCCTCGATGACGGTGAAGAGTCCAAGGACAATCCTTCAGAGTAAACGAGTAACAAAACACTAAAGCTTTCCATAATGTAGTTAATTTGTTCGGCAATCAATTAATGACCTTATTTGGGTTCTGTCACAAGCCTGTCACAGACTACATTTAACAGTTGACAAAATACAAGATTACCCTCTCAGTTTCAACAGAGTCAGGGAGAGAGCTGTCTTAATACATCCTGCTGCTGGTCTCATTTCTAGCCTCTTAACCGAACATCAGGATACAACAGCATCAGTATCAAGCATCCTCGGCCCGTGTCCATCAAGCACATCAAACACATCAAACATACTGAGCAGACAACAGTCAGGGATCATGAATATTTGGGGGGAATATTTTTATGAATTTGTGAGCTCAGTCACTATTTATGCTCCCCAAGTTTTTTTTATAAGTACAGTAAATTACAGATATAACGAACTCAAAGGGACCACTAATTTTAGTTCGTTATAACCGTAGTTCGTTATAAGCATATATACAGCATAACTGCAGCAAATTTTAAGGACAAAAAAGTAGGTTCGTTATATCCGTCAGTTCGTTATAAGCGTGTTTGTTATAAACGTAGTTTACTGTATATGATTGTTGTATACTGAACAAACAAAAAAAAGGTAGGGGTCATGAATACTTTGGGGGATATTTTTATGAAATTTTGTGCTCAGCCTTCACAACAAAAAACATCCCTAAAAATATTCAGATCACAAACTTTTTTGTTGAGTATATTTCATAATGACAGTTGGTTTTTTTATATTTCTTGTACTTTTCTAAGATATATTTCTTGAAAGTTTATTCCATATAGATCTGTTTATTGAAATAACCAACTAACATGTCTATTAAGAAACACTTGTCAATCCAAATTTTTTATCAACACAAGAAAGAATTAGATCTTTTACAACAAAGACATCAAAAGGTCCCCCGACTTATCACAAAAACACAGACTGGTGAGTCCAGTAGTTTAAGTACTGGTATTTGCTCAACATGTCCAATACAGGTACAATACGTCCCACTGCCGTGATGCAGCTGGAATATTGCTAAAACCATCGTCAAACTAATTAAAAAACACAAGTGTGAAAATTTCACAATAAAAAAACCTCAGCCGGCACAACTGCCAAACAAATCCAAGTATTTTACTTGTCCAAGGACCAGTTGAGGATTTAGAATAAATTTCTTTTAAGTTGGAACCTTGGGTCATGTGACATGGATAACCAATCAGTGTCTCTGGCCACTGGCGCCACTCTAAGTTTGTTTTGGCAATGGCACAGGCTGCATTTTGTTTTATGCAGTTTTTTCATGTTGAATGTTGAATGTGTGTATTCTAACTTCACGCCTTGTCGGTAATAGATTAGTCTTGCCCGAGGTGGAGTTATGTTAAACGAATTACAAGAAGCTAAACTCAAATTTCCAAAGATATTTTGACAGACTGTAATACCCTGATACATCCATCATACACAATATTGTTAGAGCAGCATTACACAACAAAGCTTCAGGATGACATGCCACTGTCATGATGAACATCATGATGTTGCCATGGTTACCTTGTTGCGGGATGTCATGTCACTATCATAATGTATTAATGGAACATCACTACACTGTTACTATGGTTACCTCAGTTAGTTGCAGGGGGCACGGGTGGCCCAGTCGTCTGAGGCGCCGCGATTTGCTATGCAGAGTTGCTTCCCTTGGGCACGCCAGAAACCTATGATTGTGGGTTCGAATCCTGGTTCACCCCAATTATGTTTCTAGGTCTGTCAGCACTATACCCGTGCTCGTGGGTTTCACTGAAGTGGTTTACGTCTGAGACCTGCATCACTTCGGGCTTTCCTCGCACATTAAGCTGACACGCCGTGATATAACTGGAATGCTGATTAAAGCGGCGTTAAACCCAACTCACTCACTCACTCACTTAGTTGCATGACATCATATCACTATGCTAATGTATTAATGGAACATCACTACACTGTTACCATGGTTACCATCATAATGCTAGGGCTTGGATGAGTCCAAATGTACGACCCGGTTATCTGACCCCCTATTACCCTGAGTTACCCATCCCAGCCGTAAGAAGTACTGATGGACCACTGTGGCACACTGTCCCTCCCTGCTGATGGATAAACAGTCATCTACTAGATCCAGTATAAATTGAGAGTCATCAGAAGATCGACCACATATGCCCCCAGAATCCAGAAAAAAAGGCGACAAAACCCTTTCCATATTGATAAGAAATCACTGACAAAAGTCGATTCTGACTATATCATGAGCATATGTTTATGAATCACTATCAAATAGTGATGATACCAGGTGTTCGCGAAAAGGTGAGTCTGGTGGCACCCATCACAAACACATGCAAAGGCAAGTCAATTGTTCACCAGAAACAAAATGGGAACATATGGTACAAGCCAAAACAGGGAATAGCATTCGACATAATTTTTATCTCTGATGTGTCAAAATTGGAAATGTCTTCATGTCCACCATAAAATGTTTTAAAAGCTTTACTGAGGCCATGAATGTCGTAACCTTGATCCAAAAACTCCTTAACAAGAGTTGCATGTCGTTCCTTGAAATCATGGTAGAAAGTGCATGCTTAATTGTACAGTGATCCCTCGCTATTGTGCTCTTCGATAAAGCGCTACCTCGGTTACTACTCGCGGTAACGCATGGCTCCCAAAATTTATGTACACTTTTATTACTGAGAGTTTTACACAGACATAATTGTATTGTTGTTCGTTGTTCATTTGCACATAACGCTTCTCATTGCATAATCAACCGTTTATCGCTGAATGGAGTTCTAATAATCTGTTTGAAAACATCCGCGGCAAGTCCCGGAAATACGATTGTTCAACGAGTTAACTTTTCACACTATACATCCTTTGATCTTAGAAGCGCATGCATGCAATAAAAGAGAACCACAAGCGAAGTTTATATTCTTAATTAGTGGGCAATCCAATTTGAGGCGACACTGTCACACACATGTAGTTGCTGTCACAACACGGCGGTCATTCATTTCGTAATCGCGCTTTCGTAACATCGCCTGTATCTCAAAAGTTGTGACATGTAAACACAAAAGGCTGGAGCTGCAGGAATATTGCTCGATGTGAAAGGAAAGTTGACAATTGGAAAGTTGAAGTTATCTCTCTTGTCATACTGTCTTGTTGAGAGTGATTGTCACTCTGAATTCTGATTCATATGCATCAAGAAACATATCAGCAAGAAGGGGAGCACAAACGGTGCCCATGGGGATGCCTACTTCTTGCCTAAATGTCTTTCCCTAATATGTTACATAGATGTTATCACTGAGGAAGTCCAGCATATTTTTTTTCCCAGTAAACTTTAGATGTCATTTGCTTTCCTTTTTAACAAATAGACCTGAACCTCTGAAGATAGATATGTAAGTGTATTTATGGTCACCATGTTCTGACCATGGGTCAAGGAATGAAGTTTTTCCTTAAGTTTGTCAGACTGCCTCCGTTGTCTAGT